ATTATAAACAAATGATACAAGACAAAAAATATCACTTCCCTGTGTAAAGTTGATCATAACTCAGCGTAGAAAAATCCCAGACAGTTTAAATTAAGTGTACATACTGTTATAATAGTCTATTATTGGCACATTTTATTAATAACACGGGTTAAAAAGTTAATAATAAGTTATAAATAATATAAATAGGCAAAATATCGATTTTCTGTTAAAAATCGACGATAACTCGGCTTAGCAAAATCCTAAATAGTTGAAATGAAGCGTATTTACTCTTATAATAGTGTATTATTAGCAACTTGTATTGTTAACAGGAGTGAAAAGTTATTAAAAAAGTTATTAATAAATTAATTAAGCAAAACATCGATTTTCCGTAAAAAATCGCTTATAACTCGGCTCAGCGTGATCCCAGGCAGTTGAAGTTAAGCATACACACTTTTGTTATTTATAACTTTATTAATAACTTTTCACCCGTGTCACCAATAACATATGCTAATAATGTACTTACATCAGAGTATGTATGCGTTGTTTTAAGCGTCTGGAATCATGCTGGGTCGAGTTATAGTCGATTTTTTACGAACAATCGATATTTTTCTTAATTAATTTATTAATTACTTTTTTAATAACTTTTCATCCCTGTTGGGGCGAACAACGAGCCCTTCGACACTTATACCGCGATATTCTCATTTATCTCCGAAGGAAAAGCGGTGCCAATAAACTCTTTCGAGCAGCAGGTTCAATCCTATACTTGGCAGGGCTTCTGCTAGGGACAGAGCTTGTCAAGTTAAATTCTTATCTAGCAGGGATATTCCTGTTAGCTGCGTTTGGTCCTTTGGATCAGCGTTGGCACCGCACTGCCTGCTTATTAATACAATGTACATATAAATGCGTGGCCCTGCTCACGCTAGCGTTCTCTAAAGGCACAACTTAAAATTTACATTTGATAATTTTGGATTTTCAAATACATTTATATTAGTTAGACATTCATGACCGTTACTTAACTGAAATCAATATTAACTATGAAACCGAGTAAAAATTTTTTTTGAATTTTTAAAACCATCTAAAAAGTAAAATACATTTTGAAAATTCAAAATCATTTGTATTAGTTACACCTTTAATATTGCTACTTACTAAAAATTGATTAAAATTTGTAAAGTAAGTTACTAAAGTATTTGAATTTTCAAAATCATGCTTAAAAATACAGCGCATTTTGATAATTCAAATATACAAATGTTACTTGAGCGTTCAATACTATTGCCTAATCAAATTTAATAAAGTCTATTAAACTAAGTGAAAAATATATTTGAATTTTTAAAACCATGCTTAAATCTAAAGCAGATTTTGAAAATCCAAATACGTCATTAGTTTTCCATTTAATTCAGTTATTTAATTGAAATTAATAGAATTTAATAGAATTTATTAAAATTAAGAGAAAAATATTAATTTTAATTCAAAATGAGTATTGATTCAGTCGTAGATTTCAAAACTTTTTTATCAGTGTAGTGCTCACGGTGGCATAGCTATGGAGTTTTAGTTCCGTCGATCTCCGAGGTTATGCAGAATTTGGCGCAGTTAGTACTTAGATAGGCGACCGTTCGAGTCTCGCCGTTTTGCCTAATTTTTGAGGGTAGTTTAACTGTTTCTCTTACGCTTTATCAACATGACCATAGGTGTAATTGATTCGGTCTTAGTGTTCATAAGTGTTTACAGGTATAAATATATGGTCATAACTTAAATTTGCACTAATAACTGGAAAACATGGTGCTTGTATAAAAAGCCATGTCTGAGCCTGAGGGTAATGATGAATAACAAAAAGATATGTATGTACGTAGTTTTATAGACTCTGCGCCCTCTGCAGTAATTATTTGACAAAAATTCTTGTATGTTACCAAATGGCTTAGAGTATAGATGCATATGGCTACTTGTAATTGGCAGGCTTACTAAAAGAGACTATAGTTTCAAGCTGCTATATGCTACTAGGCTTTTGTTTGCATGCAAGAAAAATCAAATATCTGCTACAGATGACACAGCCTCTGCATCGGCTTGGATCGAGTACAGATGCCGCACCTCTGGTTTTAGTAGTAGTAGTGACACGCTAGAACTGTCTGGACATTTATCCCCACTATCACTTCTGCTATTCTCAGTAAAACAGTACGTGACATGATTTAAACTTAGTAAGTTTCTTATTTTATTTACGTATCAATATTTTTTTTTAAATGTACATGGTTTAACTTGGGCCATGCGCTGTTGTACTTCATAGGGCAGGCGTGGTGGCGAGAGTAGGTACCTCGATACTCTTAAAGTATTATTATTTATAAGTTGTACATAAATAAGCAATCCAAAGATGTTTAAATTCATGAGAGTAATCTACGTCAATTTTATGCTGTTTGAGCCACAGCACTATACATTTTTTTTTTTTTTTTTTTATATTATAGTGCTTTAACGTCCGGCTCCTTTAATAAGGGCACTACACAGGGCACTTAGCACTTGGGAGAAGGAAGGGAAGAGGGATGGGAGGCCTCACAAATACTGGGAGGGGGGTAGGGGGAAATTAGGCAATTTTGCTGCGAGAAGGTCGCCTAAACCCTCCTCGAGGAGCATTGCGTGGTTAAAAAGCACATGTAAAAAATCACAGAGGTACTTGCCCGAAAAAGTCGTACTATGGCCGGGAATTGAACCACGGTCTCCCGCGTCTCAATCCACGACCTAGCCGACTGAGCCACCGCGCGCTCTTAAGCAGCAGCACTATACATCTTATGTTCTTGAGGATCTCATAACACTAATAATTAAAAGTTCTGAATTTTGCAACTCAAGGACAATTTATTAGTTAAATTATTGATTGTTAGTAAGAGATAAGTTGCAATAGTATCATTTCTAGCCATTATTGGTGTGACGTTCTGAAATGATAAGTCACAAGACCTTATCACCATTACCATGAAGCAGGTCTTAAAGTATTTCTAAACGAGCGTGCCAAGTGACGCTAGTCGTATGCACTGCATATATTTCCCCTTCCTTGATCAGATTCTCAGTGTCCAAGTTCAAACACTATGTCCGTTGCATTCATATAACTACGTATGTCGCTCTGCTAGCAGAATGTGATCCAGGTGGAGGGCACACACACACACACAGAGGTGCTTGATGCTAATCGATGCTCAGGAATTGTGGTGTATGTGCTGCAGCAGCCGTAGTATATACAGTGACTACAGATGTTAGGTCTGCTAAAGCGTAGAGCACTAATAGACTTTCCTAGATCCTGCGAATATACGGACATGTTGTGTATGGAACCATATTTCTGGCATTATAAGCCTGTTGTGTAAGAGAGCCCACCGGATTCGTGACCAAAGCTGTCTGTCCCTGCAGACTCTCTGTCCCTGCTTCTTCAAACAGTCAGTGACTGGACCAACGATGTAAACAGTATGGTGCAGTGCACTCAGTAAGGAGCTTATCTTGTTCTAATCTCATTTACCCTTCCCGTATCAACCTGCGTATCGAGGTAGATTTTCTTGCTCGCACAGCACGAATCCCTCCTTTAAAAACTGCATACTAAAAGAGTAACTATTCTTGTAAAGAGGAATAAAAGCGGATTGCATACTTGACACGTTCGACTCACATATTTCGGCCCAGAGTGTGTTCATGGTAAAGGCTTCTTCATTATTTTTGTTTCTCTGTGATAAATATAGTGGTACCCGTATAGTTTTAACTTAAATATATTGTACTAGTTATGTTATATTATTAATTTTTATCAAATGAAACAATTAAAAAGCCATGTGTGGAGTGAATGTTTTTATTTAAACAAAAGATTGTCGACGTTTCGCCCCTCTTGGATTTTCTTTGTGTATATTTCGTGTGAGAAAGTTCTTTAAAGATATGCCTTGTCAGTACGGCCAAAATATTTACTGAATAAGTATGTGAGCTGAAGCTTAGCTGCCGATAGCGAGTTATGGGGGGTGCTTGAGGCACCTATACAGGTGGGGCTGTTAATATATCCTGAAGAGACCTCCTTGAGAGGCGAAACGTCGACAATCTTTCAATAAAATAAAAATATTCACTCCACACATAGCTTTTTAATTGTATCATGAATTAAAGATACATACATGAAGTAAGAGAAGAAATAAAAAAGAACCATAAGAATATATTCTTTATTTGTTATTTGGCGCCTTTAATTAATATTAACATAAAAATTGTAGTTAACATAAATGATTCATAACAAAACTGGTTTTTATTACTACGAAATTGATAGTGATCATTGGATAGTCTATCACTGCCTCTACGTCAACAGATACTGACTGTTTTTATGTTTTAATTTTTCTATTTTTGGCATAAATAAAAATAATAGTATATTATTGTCGTAGAGATGTAATACTCTTTTCTTTTTTATGCAATGCTAGGTTAAAAAAACTCACTTATGTAGCAGTTCGTACATATCATAGTTTAATTTTACTTGACTTAAATTATTTTTTATTCTTTGACGTATAGTAAATGCAATATTCATTAAAGATTGCTTAGTTGTCTGTTTTTTTTACTTATTTAAAAAAATCTAATTGTAAACAGTTTCTATTCCTTCACTTTTTTTTTGTCTTACGATAAACTCTGCAGTATCTTGCAACATCGTACTTAATCATTGGCTATCTTATTATTATTAGTAAAAGTTTCATTTGAAGTTTGTTTTTCGTGAGTCAAATAAACGCAATAAAAGAACTTAAAATTATACTAGTAATAATTGCTCCTTTTCTTGTCAGTCAAAAAAATCTCAATTTCAGAAGCCTAATTTTTAAGGTCTTTTTTTATTTTTAAATGAATTTTATTTTTAATTGTCATGGTTGTATTGAAGTCAGTAAAACTTTCTAAAATTTAATTTCTGTTTGGCTTCCAGCTCGTTTGTCTCTTTATATTTCTCACTTCTTATTTAGAGTAATTATAGTATAAAAGATTTTTTTACATTCAGGTTAATGTATGTACCTAATTAAAAGGATTGAATATATTAAAAATATTTTGTTTTTGTTTAGATATGATGAAAGAATCAAGAAATGCGTTTCTTGATGAAAACGAACGGAAAAAACAAAAAACTATGATAGGAGATGAAAAGATGTCAGTATCTACAGCACTAGAGAAACACGAGGTACATCATCATCAATTTCGGGATGAAAATATTAGGTAAAAATATTTTGTATACAGTACTGTGCTTGCAAGTTTGTTGATACATTTCATTTATTTATAATTTACCAAAATTAAACAATTTTCCTAGTATCTACGAAATTTTCTTGAAAAATGACATGTCAAGTACATCCAGTGCATCAGTAGCATCAGCAGCAGCAGCAGTAGTAGCAGCACCAGTCAGCAATCTTCAGTTCGTGTCGCAACAGAGATCTATCATTTCCCCTATGATCCCAAAAACTTCAAAACATCAGCAGCTTACTCAAGTAATTCCATTCTATGGATCCCTTTTTTTTCTATCCATTTACCTTTTCCTTGCTGATAATTTTCCTACCTTTGCGCTTGGTTTTCTGTCCATTTCAAGCCAGCTTATATCAAGTAGTGAGATTACGTTGGCCTGTTATACGATTGAACAGCTAATTTTCCATATTTTGAAATACTTAAGCTAACTACGAAACGGAGCCATATAAAATCAACGTAAGGGCTTCAGAGACTTAGGATACCATGGCTCATGAAAATGTTGATGTTCTCTTTCTTTATATACAGCTTGAAAAGATGTTAACTGATTCTAACGTTTTTACTGTTTCACTATGTTTTTGTTGCGTTAATGACTTGAATTCCGCAATTTATTTTTATTCTGCAAAGATGATACATTAACTTGAATACTACATCACCAATTGTTCAGAGAATATCAACCCATACATTACACTATTCTTTGACACTTTGTTTTTGTATACTTTACTAGATTTAAAATTTTTTATGTTTGCAACAAAGTTCTTGGTAACAAAAATAATTTTTTTCAAGAAATTTATGTAGAAGCTTCGAGTGATGCGTAGTACGACATATAATATTTTTAAATATCCATGGTAAATTGATTTTATAATAATCATTAAAAACATTTATAGTATATCAGTGATAATATTGTGTTAATGTACAACTTACATTTATTATTATTGAATAAAATGTAGAAATAACAATAAATACTACTTGATTAAACATTTTCTTTTAGTTAAACGTGCTTAAGCATTTCGTTCACCCTGTTTAAAAATAGAAGGTTGGTGGAAAAAGAATTATACATGAAAGGTTACATTTCCAACTTTTTTTATAGAAATTATTTACTTATCTAAATTCTAGATGTACTGGTGACTGTTTGTATCTCTGATAGTGTGCTTCAGTCAAGAGGTTCGATTAGAGTTCTTAAGGTATTAATCGTCAGTTACTCTTAAAAAAGATCGTCTATTTACACTAGGAGCTAGTATACTGATGCAATGGAAAGTATGCAATTTAAATATGATTGTGACTTGGTTCTAAGTTCTCTGATGTGAAATCAGATATCGGTGAGAAAACTTGTAATGAGTTCTTATTTTTCGACCTAATTTAAAATATAAAATCCCTAGTCATCAATGTACATAAATCTCTAAGATTGACGTGGATAAATCTTTCACCTGCTCTTCTCTCTTGTGCCGTACTCATTCATGTCAGAGAACAGGAATTATTTTGTTTTTAAAACAAACACGATTGGCAAACAAGTTTAGCCGTTGTAATACTGATAGCTTTGAATATACGATCAAATATATAATACGAATTCAAGCCTTACTTCATCACATAAAGTTGTCATAGTACAAACAGCAAATGGATAACTGTGAGATATATGTTTGGTGCTCATAGCTGAATTGTAGTGTATACGCAGTGTAAAGAAGTGAAAAAGCTGCGGCGCTGCACTCAACCATCTAAATTGCACTGTTTAGTTCATTCCCGTGCGATCAGTTGGTCGATACAAGCTCTCGCATTCGTACTTTATAATTTTTAGCTCGATTTTGCTTTCTTTCAGTTTTGCTTCGATTGCCATTCATTATAAAGATAGTTAAATACATAAAAGACTTGAGATTGTGTAAATAAATGTGTTTTGTACTAGAAGCAGAGTGACTGTTCCGAACTACTAAGTTTTTTCTTTCCATACATTGTTAAGCGTTGCCCTATGTTATTACTTGTTTTAAATTATTATTATAGATCAAGATAAAGAGATGGTATCTCACACACTTAGATGTTGCATATGTATTGCTTGTGAGTTGGCTTGAGCTGGCAGTCTAATGGCTACCGTGTCCAAGAGTTGAGGAAGAAGGTGAAATAATGAACTGCTTGTTAACATTAACAAGAAAGATTTAATGTTAACTTGAATAAAAGGCTTCTCAAAGAAAGCTCCTAACTTGTGCTTACAACGACGCTCGAGACTTGTCTACCTGCACAGCAGCCTAGCACGACGAGGAGAGATGCAGGAAAGTAAGAAGTGGTGGAAGGCAACAGTGCCTACTCTTTTACCGACGGTTGCGTAGCAGGGTCGGGTCCCCACAGCACGCCTTACCCCTCTCGAGACAACGCAAATAAAACAAAGGGAAAACTCTGTGGCCATTCATGCTAAAGCCGTAACAAACTGAAAAAAATTACAAAAATTGAGAAATGGAATGTTGCTGCTAAAATAATGAGGAGTGTATAACGTTATTAAAAACGTGTAGTCAGACAAAAATGTTGAATAGCAACGTGACAAAAACTTTACTGATTACATCGCAATATAAAACGAACTGGATTTCTTTGTAGTTTATTACAATTAACGTTGGATACAGTTTGTCCTAACGAAATAATAAATATAATTATGTATACATACGCAGAAATTTGTACATAAGACAATTTTTCAGTATAAATTAAGCCCATGCAAGGCACTAACGTGTAATAATAAATACGTTAATAAATAAGTTAATAAAGTAACAGCATACAATTTTCAGATTAGAGTACGTTGTAAAAGATAACATCTGTCATTCAAGGACTACTTAAAATACTTATTTAAGATTGTAGCAATCAGGTAGAGATGAGACCTTAAGAAGAAAAAACAAATGAAACTGCTTAAAACTATTAAAATTATTAATAGACGCATTAATACAAACTTTTTTTCTTAAATTTAGAATTGCCAGGGTAAGTTTTAAGTATAAAAACGGGCCTTAGAGGCAGCTTGCTAGGAACGGTGAGATCCAAAGTAGGTGCCACAAGATCTTCAGGTACAAAGAGAGCTGGTTTAAGCTACTCAGTGGTGATAACTTTGTGAGTGCTGTTGATGTCGATCTTATCTTTGAGATCAGAGATTCACTTGATTACCTTATAAAGACCAGAATAAGGGTGATCAAGGGATTTGGCAGTTAGATTACGACGAAAAAGGTGGGAGCACGAATGAAGATCTTTGAAGAAATATGAGCGAATCTTGTGGCGATGTTCCTCACGCACCGGCTTTAGTTCTCTCATGTGCTTTCTATAATCCTTAATGAAGATCTTAAGGTTTTGAAAAATTCATCTGGGATGAAAAACATACCAGGCAGACGTAAAGCATTGCTGTACAAGAACTCAGCAGGGTAGGCTCCCGTGTCACTGCGAACTGCCGTGCGTAGACCAAGAATAACAGTGGGAAGAAGTTTCACCCAGTTTGGATTATTATGATACCTGAGAGAAGCTTTAAAAGTGTGGTGCCAAAGTTCGATGAGACTATTGGCAGCTGGATGATAAGTTATGGTCCTTTTGCGCTGGCAAACAATAAACGAAAGATAGGCATTAAAAATGGTGGATTCAAATTGCGATTCCCGATCAGTGGTAACAAATGTTGGGGCCCCAAAACGAGCTATCCAAGTTCCTTGAAAGGCATGCAGGACCGTGGAGGCTTAGATGTTATTGAAAAATACGGCCTCTACCTATCGAGAAGAACGATCAATAGTAGTGAGACTGTATGAAAATCTTTCACAAGTTTTTAGAGGACCAACTTTATCCATATGAATATGACGAAACCTGTTGTCAGGAGCCACAAACTGACTGGGTTCGTTAACTACGTCTCAAGTGACCTTTATTTGTTGGCAATCAAGACTTCCGTGGCACCAAGCCTTTATATCGCGGTGCATTTTGGGCCAAACGTATTTTTGTCGGATTAACTGGTCAGTGACTTTGGTCTTGGGATACAAGGCATTCTAAAAGGTGTCGAAAATGCGCTTACGCAAATCTTTAAATATTAGACCTTTGCTCGTCGTCGTGCTGCTAATACTGGATAAGTTTTGGCATTTCAGTGTCTGTTGGAAGTCTAAATACGTCAATACTTGACAAAGCGTCAGCTGCAACGTTGTTAGTGATAGGAAGGTGCTCAATTTCTGTTGAAAATTGAGAAATAAAGCAGAGCTGTCAGCGTTATCGTGGGGATGCTTTATCAGACTTCTGTGTGAAAGCAAATTTTAAAGGCTTGTGATCGGTGACAATTTTAAAAACAAGAAAATATTTAAAATACTTGATAGCTTCAAAGATAGTAGGAAGCTCGTTGTTGTGAGTGCTGTAGTTACACTAAGTGAGGAGAACTTGTGAGAAAAAAATGCTAGTGGCATCCAGATTCCGTCAAATAATTGGTTAAGAGTTGACCCCATAGCAGAATCAGATGCATCACTGAAGAGACGCGTGAGAGCGTGTGCGTAAGGATGCAGGAGTTGGCAAGCTTTAATTAGACTATTTTTGATATCATCTAAGGCCTTGATGGATTCATCTGTTCAATCAATCAGCTGGTGAATGTTTTTTTTAAAGTCGTACGTAAATGCATAAAGAGAAGCCTGGATAGATGCGGTAATGGAGAGGCTGCGCCGATAAAATTGGCAAGGCTCAAAAACCTTCGTAGCTCGTCGACCATCTTAGGTCTGGAGAAATCGGCAATAGCCTAAACCTTTTCTTTGCACGTGTAAGAGCCATCCTGATCGATAAGGTGGCCAAGGACAACGATCTCTGGTTTGTGAAACTCGCATTTGGCTAAATTAAGGCGAAGACCGAATTTTTTGAAATCGTCTTGAGGTAAGAATCGTGCTTCTTAGGAGATAGAGAAAAAACTAGAAGGTCGTCAAGATAGAAAAAAATAGAGTCCAGATCACCCAGAGTTTGATTAATATATCTTTAAACGTACTGCAACGCGTTGTAGAGGCCCAAGGGCATGAAAACGTACTAAAACAGATCAAATGAGATCGCGACTGTAGTCTTAATAATATCAGTGAGCGTGATAGGGATCTGGTTGTATAGGCTCTGTACATGTCAAGTTTTAAGAAAACTTTTTTACCTGCTAAGAGAATAGAATAATCATGAGATAGTGTATGGGAAACTTATTGGGAACCATGCAAGAGTTAAGACAGTGATAGTCTCTGCAAATTCTCCAAGAGCCATCCTTCTTCCGCACCATGTGAATTGAGCTGACCCAGGGGCTTTTGGAGTATTTGTAATCATCACTTTTAACCAGCTGCTCAAATTCTTCTTTGGCTATTTGGTACTTTTCCGGACCACCTGGAAGCTAGCCGGCAAATTATTGATTTGTGCAATAAAAAAATACTAGGCGATGTGTTTTTATCCGTATATTTAGTTGATGCAAAAAATTTTAACTGCACATGCCTCAATTTTGTATAAAAAATTAAAAACCATTCGCGATTTTCACGCCGCAGTTGGATAGAGATATCTCGGCAAAAAAGGCATATTTGCAACTGCACTCAGTCATAATTAACTGCACATGGTCTGTACTTAATTGCACCACCGAGATACTTAACTGCACAGTCCTTTTCAGATTAGAGTACGTTGTAAAAGATAACATCTGTCATTCAAGGACTACTTAAAATACTTATTTAAGATTGTAGCAATCAGGTACTAGAGAAACACGAGGTACATCATCATCAATTTCGGGATGAAAATATTAGGTAAAAATATTTTGTATACAGTACTGTGCTTGCAAGTTTGTTGATACATTTCATTTATTTATAATTTACCAAAATTAAACAATTTTCCTAGTATCTACGAAATTTTCTTGAAAAATGACATGTCAAGTACATCCAGTGCATCAGTAGCATCAGCAGCAGCAGC